CCCAAAAAAAAAAAAAAAAAAAAAAAAAAAAAAAAAAAAAAAAAAAAAAGCTCTTTTAAAGCTTAATCCAGACATATTGAGGAGAAAATAGTCTGCCACTACAACTACCTTGTGCCAACACTGTTCTTCACCCTAAGGGAAGAGGAATTAGTGACCAGACTGATGAGGTTCAAAATACTCACTTGTCCACATTTAAAAGGGTGAGATCTCATTGTGCATTAAAAGAACCTCCACACCCAGATTCCTCTCGGCTTTCTTCCTTCCCTGTACTGGGTGGGTGGCTCAATCTAGGTTGCTACGGAGGTGACAACTGCAGGTGCAGCTGGGGTCTGCAGGTGACAGGCTATCGTCGGCCACCAGCCCACTGACAGCTGAATCACCACGTAGACTCTGGGGAAGTTTCTGGAACACTTCCGCTTTATTCAGGAAATGCACAGGCTTATATAGGGAACCATGGGTGAGGAGCATGGGAGGAGCATTTAACGTTTGGTGATATCTTATTGGCCAGACATGGCGGAGTGATTTTTTTCTTGGGCGAGGCGAAGGAGTCCCGGACTAGGGGCGGAGGTGTATCCTGTAGTACCCATCATCTACGCACTTAGCAAATTTAGCTCAGCCTTAGCAAGTTCTCTGAGTTAGCTCAGGAGACAGGAATACAGCTCACCTGGCCCAGTCAGGCTTGAACTTCTCCCACAAGAGGGCTTGCTTAGGTCTACGTGGATGCTTTTAAAATGTAAAACTAGTAAAATGGAGCAAGTCCAACAGAAGGCACCTGTTTAAAGCCCTAATCTAGTTCCTGTTGACCAGATGATAGGGTACGACCCGTGCGTGCCAGTACTTAGTAAAGTCAGAGGTGGGCACCTATTTAATAAGTAGAAGATTGTGAGTAGTGTTCTTATTCTAATTCGTACAGGGCTGAAAGGTTAAAGTCACCAATTCTCTTCGACTAGAGACAGTCTTGTGGGTATGGCTCTCTCGTAATGGAAATGGAATCATTTCTTTTTCACGACTCCAGTGCCCTTGCTGTGATTTGATGAGCACTATGTAGCAATGCATTAACATATAAAAATTCCACGATTTTGAATTCACAGAGCTCTCCTAGAAAGAATTCTCTGTGCTGAAAAATTAGACTCAAAATGATTCTGAGTGAAAAAATGTTTCCCACTCTGAAAAAATGTCCTCCTGCCCCCAGAAGTAATTTGGAAGTAAGGACAACAACCACACAAGAGTAGGACAAGGCATGCTTTGATCAAACACAAAGTTGTTAAGAGTTTATGTAGTGTACTGTAAGAGCCTGACTGAACCAGAGTGACTCCATGTTGACCAGCAAACGACCTAGAGACTGTCACTCCCCCCATCCCTTATAGGATAACTAATGATTAATTGTGAATTGTTAGATAACTGCTTTGAAGTAGCTGGGAGGCTGGGTGGAGACTACAGTGAACACAGAGACACAACATGGATTGCGCCACTCCTTGCATGCCTGTAATCTGAATGTTCTGAACATTATAATCTAAGTTGTCAATGGAGCAATGGATGAGCAATCTGCTGATCATTAGTACGTGATGGTCAAGTATATGCCTGATGACCACTAGGTCAGAACAACTGATTCTTTGCCTTTGTCCTTTTCCTGTAAACCCCCCTTCAGCACTATATAAAGTGGCCTCTGTTTCTGAGCTAGCTGCCTCTCTGAGCCACTTGGCTTGGGGAGTGCCATCTGGCCAGACTAATAAAGGTCTATTTGCCAACTTGCCTGGTGTGTTCCTTCCTGGGTGACTCTCGCTGTCCAACAAGCTCCTGGAGCCTTGCTGAGCTTCTGAGCCCAGCATTGTGAAAGCCTCTTGGCTGTTCACGCTCCAGGAGTAAAAGTGAGACTTAAGTCTTACAGTACTTTTAAGCCAGGAGTGGTGGCGCATGCCTGTAATCCCAGACTGGGGAGGCTGAGACAAGGGGATCGCTGTGAGTTCAAGACCACCCTGGGGTATATAGTGAGTTCCAGGTCAGTTTCAACTACACAGTGAGACCCTGTCTCAAAAAAAAAAACCAAAAAAAAAAGAGTTTATGTACTGTACTTTTTAAAAAATGGTAGAGACTTCTGTAGGATGACTGTTATTTCAACATGAAAATGTGTACCGTGACTTCTTTCAGGATGTTTTAAAGGGGACTCTGCTTGAATCCAATCTAGATACTGGGAAAGAAGAATTTCAAAACTAAGATAAATAAAAGCTAGAGGCAGAGATTATCTAGCTTATGTCCACATAGTACTTCTAAAACTCTTGCTATTTCTTTCTCTCTTTCTTTGGTGGTATAGGAGATTGAACGCAGGGTCTCAGTGCTGACGAACAGCCCAACCCCTTGTTACATTTTGAGACAGGACCTCACTGAGTTGCAATGAGAAACTCAGGAACAGATGCCGTATTGTACACATGTCCCAGCACATTTCCAGAGTACAGGACAGAGCCCGCATCAAGCATTTAGCCAACAATTAGGGACTCTGATGGGTCAGGGCTCCACGTGAATTTATCTGACCCCGCAGGAACCTGGACGCCTCAACCGAAGGGACACCTAGGGACTCTGGGTCCCTGTGAGATCGTATAACCCACACAAGGGATCTGCTGCTATGCATAGTAGAGCTCCAGATGCAGACAGCTCCTCCCTTAGGCCTGGGAATCCCTGAGCAGGCAGGCGCACGGAACCAAAGCTGCTGGACAGGCCCAGAGTAGCATCTCGCAGACAGCCCAGGGCAGCCCAGGTCGTGCTGTGCACAGAGGCAGGACAGTCTCCAGGATAAGCAACCCTTCTGTCCTTTATGCTTGGAGGGATGGGCAGGAGCAGGCCTGGGCATGTGACAGGAAGCTCTGGCTATGGTTTCGGTTTCCTTTATCTCAGCCCCAACCAAGCTAGAGCCAGTGTGAGGACATTGACTGGGGGAAATGCTCTCACCCCCAGCAAGGCAAGAGCCCCCTTAGCACCAGGGCTGTAGAGGAATCACTTTCCTTTCTCTCTTGTCCCCCACGCGAAGACTCCGTTTCAGGAAGAGCACACTGGGGTGAGCAGATGAAATGCCACAGGTGAAGCCTCGCTGGAGGACGCTGGAGACCCTTCTGTGCCGGGGAGTGAGGGGACAGGGGGCTGAAGCAGGAGAGTCCCCGGATCTGCAGGTCTTAGGCTCACTCTCAAGCTTGCGTGTTCAGGACAGACCCAGAGCAGCACGGGAGGCTTTGGAACAGAACTGCACCCGGGGCCCAGGTAGCACCTACAGCAGCAGCACAGCAGGGATGGATGCTGATGGCTGTGAGGCACTGGAGATGACTGGTGCACTGGCCAGCTGCCACCAACAGCCAGGATGACATAGCCAGCAATGCCGTGGGATCCTTAGGAGGAGACTCAGCCACACCAGAAATCCCAGTTACTCAGGAGGCTGAGGCAGGAGGGTGGTAAAGTTCTAGGCGAGCCTAGGCAACTAAGTGAGATGATGTCTCACAGGGTGGGGGGAGAGAGAGAGAGAGAGAGAGAGAGAGACAGAGAATGTGTGTGACTGGGGTTGTAGCTCAGCTCTCCTTGGGTTTAATCTCCAACACTGCCAAAAAAAAAAAAAAAAAAAAAAAAAAAAAAAAAAAAAAAAGTTCAGGATAAAATCCTAAATTACATGGCATAAAAAGAATCAAGAATATCCAAACAGCTCTTGGAGAAGCTGCCACCACCAGAGGCTACCTCCAAGTTGCCTCCAAGCTGCTGGATGACCAGACAGGTGCCCGAGTGCAGTTCCCTTGTCCCCAGGGCGCTCAGCTGTCCACCGGGTGCCAGACACTGCAGGAAGCTGTGTTTCCTTCACGTCTTCTGCCAGTGCTGCACGGCTATACCAGGTAGTGTGGGAGCTGCACGGGGGGAACAGCCTCAGTGTGCAGCTGTAATGGGCATAGCCCAGTCCAGCAGTGAAGCAGCCATGGAGAAGGCAGGAGAAACAGCACCACAAAGCTGATAGACACTTCAGAAAATAATAAAGGAATACTGTGATCAACTCAACAACTTATGTCAGGTAAACCAGCTCCTGTGTTCATCACAAAAAAGATCCAGCAATATATAAAAAGAACAACACACTTAGCCAAATGTGTTTTGTCCCAGAAGTGCAAGGATACTATAAAATTTGAAAATCAATGTAAAAGTCACATTTCAACAATTAAATAAGAAAACATAGATATGATCCTCTCCGTCGAGAAAAGCACTTCACAAAATTTTATGGAAAGAAGTGTCATCTCCCTAAAATGAAAGTTTGCCTTGAAGCAGATGGGAGTTTTAAAGAGGCCACCGACTCCTCCTGGTGTGCATTTACCCACTCTGACCTGACAACATAAAGCCAAGAGCTGGACACTCACCTCCAGCCATGTAGGAGCCCTGGGTCTTCTCCACGGGGACCTGGCAGCCTTGGGACCACACCCCTGGACACTGACACGGGCGGCAGAGAGGCCTGCAAGTCCATCCTGCTCCAGCGCCTGTCCATACCCACCGGAGTCAACCTGACCCCATCAACCACGGTGACCCTGCCCGTTGTGTATTGATTTTATAAGTTAAATCACAAAGGAAGATCTTATTTTAAAATTTCTTGAGTAAAAACCCAAGTTGCCCCCATAGACCACCCACCCCATTGCCTTGAAATATGTTACTTCGCAGACGCTTTGCTGAAGCTCCAGAACCCTGTAAGGAGAGAACCATGGTGCAGTCACAGCTGTGAACCAGCAGGGAGCCCACTGCATCTGAGTGGGGAGACTTTCCATCGCTACCTTCACAGCAGTAACAGAAACAGCACCAACGGTCAGATCAGATGCTCCTGGTGTTTGGAAGAAGACTTGAGTGTGTTCTTAGAAACACATACAATTATTCTGTACCTCATGCCATAGGCTGTGTCAGCACGGCTGATTGGAGGCTGACCATGTGACTCCATAGCTATTCTGGGAAACTGAGCATAGCGGAAATGGAATGCAGGTGGTGTGCAGCGCTGACTGGAACATGGGACGAGCCAGGCTGATGAGAGCCACTGCTTTGGTCTCCACTGAAATGGTCATCAGAGTCTTGGAACCACAGGGTTCCTACTTAAGGCTACCAAAGAGGGATTCCATAAAGTTATGTCTTCCGGCACTGAGCAAACTAAAATCCATTTACTTTAAAATAAGTGAATGTTATTCAACAAAGCTTTATTGTCCAAATTTTTGACTTGGACCTATGTGAAAGAACATAATAGATCTCACCAAGAACAAATTAGATATGTGAGGGCATGGTAGCCTCACAAAGCCCTTCAAAATCGAAGAGGAGTGACCGCTCAGGGAGCAAGGAAAGCAGCCCCACTCGGACCCAGCATATTCCACGGCTCTAGTACACTGGCGAGATCAGTAAAACGTGA